CAACTAACAGGTGGGCATATCCGAGGAACTGTAGCATTTTGAATACAAGTTTCTAAGGATGCAGTCCAAAGAACTTTGGAAAGATATCAAGCAACTCACAGGTGGACACATCCAACGAACTGCAGCATCTTGAATACAAGTTTCTAAGGATGCACATCAAAAAACTTTGGAAAGATACCAAGCAACTAAGAAATGGACACATCCAAAGAACTGTAACATCTTGAATACAAGTTTCTAAGGATTCAGCTCAAAGAACTATGAAAAGATACCAAGCAACTAAGAGACGGACACATCCAAGAAATTGTAACATATTGAATACAAGTTTCTAATGATGCAGCTCAAAGAACTTTGGAGAGATATCAAGCAATTAACAGGTGGACACATCGAATGAACTGTAGCATCTTGAATACAAGTTTCTAAGGATTCAGTCCAAAGAACTTTGGAAAATATCAAGCAACTCACAGGTGGACACATCGAATGAACTGTAGCATCTTGAATACAAGTTTCTAAGGATGCAGTTCAAAGAACTTTGGAAAGATATCAAGCAACTCACAGGTGGACACATCGAATGAACTGTAGCATCTTGAATACAAGTTTCTAAGGATTCAGTCCAAAGAACTTTGGAAAAATATCAAGCAACTCACAGGTGGACACATCCGACGAACTGGAGCATCTTGAATACAAGTTTCTGAGGATGCAGCTCAAAGAACTTTGACAAGATATCAAGCAACTAATAGATGGACACATCGAACGAACTTTAGCATCTTGAATACAAGTTTCTAAAGATGCATTCCAAATAACTTTGGAAAGGTACCAAGCAACTAAGAGATTGATACATCCAACGAACTGTTGCATCTTGAATATAAGTTTCTAAGGATGCAGTACAAAGAACTTTGGCAAGATACCAAGCAACTAAGAGATGGACACATCCAACGAATTGTAGCATCTTGAATACAAGTTTCTACGGAAGCAGCTCAAAGAACTTTGAAAAGGCACCAATCAACTAAGAAATGGACACATCCAACGAACTGTAGCATCTTGAATACAAGTTTCTAAGGATGCAGTCCAAAAACTTTGGCAAGGTACCAAGCAACTAAGAAATGGACACATCCAACGAATTGGACCATCTTGAATACAAGTTTCTAAGGATGCAGTCCAAAAACTTTGGCAAGGTACCAAGCAACTAAGAAATGGACATATACAACGAACTGTAGCATCTTGAATACAAGTTTCTAAGGATGCAGTCCAAAAACTTTGGCAAGGTACCAAGCAACTAAGAAATGGACATATACAAC